CAAAGCAAAATGGTCATTTTTGACAATTTAGGCAACTGGAGAAAATATTAATAATATAAAGATTCAGAATATAAATATTATGAACAATATTTAAAAACAAAAGAATATAGTTTGTAGTATCAAAACGAGGCTCTCTTTAGAAAAAACAGAAGAGGTCGGAGCTTCATAGGGCTGCCCTAGCAACGCATCACATTACTGGTTCCTATCAGCAGCTGAATACCTTTTCATGCATAAAATGAAATGGCTAGTTAGAGAAACAGGGATCAAAAAGGGAACATGCTTGAATGAAATACAAAATACAAGATTTTCTGCTTTAATTCTCTTAATGTTATTAAATGAGTAAAGAGAAGTGTAAATAGCAAAGATTAGTAACCCAAAGCAGCAAAATGATCAAGAAAAAGTGAAATCTTGCCTTCCTCATTTCTTCCTACACTCTCTCTTCCTAGGTAAAGCATTAGAGCCACAATCCCTTCAATACTACCTGCAGGATACGACTTAATATTGAAAATATTTGAGGAAACAGTATAGCACATCTGATGCTATAGAACACTTTTGCAGGAGAGTTCCATGCATACAAAGTAAATATCTGGTGTTGTGTATTAGGGGAGCTATTATCGTTAGGATTTTGCATAAAATATGCTTTTCTCTTTAACATTGTGCAAATATCTTTGACTTTGTCGAGCTACAGCTGCTTACAAGATCGTGCCAAAGCTACAGCAACTCTTAAGGGCCTATCTTTCACAGCCTTGTTAGATACACATGAGCCAGCAGTCATTCTTCCCAGATACAATATCCTTCTGTCAATTAGAAATGGCTCTTAGCTTCTTTGGAATACCTAAGTAGTGGGAGATAGAAAATTATGTCCTTTAAAATGGGTCTATGGGAATTAGGACTTTGTAAAAACAGTTTTCAAGCATGAGTAAAAAAAGAATCACTGAACTAAAACTCACGAGCAAAGTTATCCTTGAAGACTCTGAAAGAGAAGTCACACAAATAGGCATGAATCAGTCCATTCTCCCTCTTACCCCGGTCCTGAAATACACTTTCTTGAAACTTCTTCTGGTTCCAGAGTGTAGGAAAGAATATCAGGTTAAAGTCAATGTCCTAAAAGAGTCTTAGTGCTGGAAAATGCTTTTGCAACTCTGGGATTTACATCACAGAAGATCTGGCCAAAAATTTTCTTCATTCAGTGGGAGAAGATTATGCCTTTAAGAGTACTCCCATATTGTACTCAGGAGATGAAATTGCATTGGATATAGACACATCTGGGCGAGTTTTATTCGAGTGTTCTGGTTAATACTACCAAGGAATCCAGGGCATCGTGGTTTTCATTCTCCTCTGCACGATATAACTTGGAACTACAAGCGTTTCTCTGGGTATAACAGCAACTACATTCCATTTTACAAGCCAGGTTTAGGATTCCTTGTTCATCACATGTTAACAGCTATTGGAGAGATTTTCTGCAGCAAAATCTCCAAGTGGAGTCCACTGGAAGTCCACTTGCTGAAACTATTCAATATCATTCTTGCAGGAAGCTCCATAAAACCCCAGTAAAACTGTAACCCTCGGTGCTGCTTTTCCACCACATAACAAATATTTAGCTAACAAGCTACTTAGCTCCTGACTGGCTAGGGGAGCTCTCTGGTATTCGTGAGGACAGGGAGCAGAGGAAGAAACACAAATGCATATCTTAATATTTTGTGAAGTTAATTATGACAAAGGGCTCCAGGAACTTACAAGGCAAGAGGAAGGACAGCAAACACTACCCCAGCCACAGCTCTAGTATTATCTCTATATTCCCCAGCAGAGTAATGTAAGGATTGTGGTGACCAGAGGAGGAATGGCAATTCTATTTTTGCAGACCTAGGTCACTTGTGGACAGGGGCATGACTTAGTTCTATACCTGAACTACCATAAAGTGAATTTGTTTGAACATTTAAGTGACTAAAAGAGAAGTTTTTACAAGTTCTAATTCATCTCAGAATTCAGTCCGTATTAGCTTATAGAGGTAAATGTAACTTTAATTTGAAAGATGCCTCTTGTGACTCATAACCTGGTTGTTTCCTGTCAAAGAAGATCCTTTTTTAAAAACAGGAAGTGCGTAATAGATGGTGCTTCATGACCAATTACATTATTATTGAATAATTGTATTAAGGGTAAAACCAGGAGCACTGGCCCTTGTAATGAATTGGAATTGGTCACATCTAATTAATGATCATAGGCAATGAAATTATGTAGCAATTAAAAATTAATGCAGTCTACAGATAAAATTAAAAGGCAAAGTTAATGAGTGGGAGCCAAATCCTTAGGTGGTATCTATCAGTAGAATCCCCCTGCAATAGGACTTCACTAGTGTACCTCACCCGAGAATATGGGCTTTTCAGCCATGTTATTTAGATATGTTATCATTTACTCCTCTTACATGTCTCTAATTTTAATAACCTGAGTTAGCTTGGAATATTATTTTTACTCACCTGTTTTCCAGAGAGATGTCATGATGACTGACAGAGCAATCACTTGTGAATCAGCAGACACGGTTACTATCCCTGCCATAGCCACTGATTTACTAAATGTCCACAGGCAGATTAACCTTATCTCCTTCTGTCTGGATTTTATCAGTTGTCATGTAAGGATAATAAAACAGTTTGGAGCTGTGAATTAAATGTTATTGTATACATTGTTGTACCTGTTAAAGTTGCAAGTCTGTTACCAACTACAGGCATTTAAATAAAAAAATGTTCTATCATTTCACTGACTATATACAGGAAGAGGAAATCGCAGAAATTGTTCACACTAGGGTCTGGGGTTTTTTCCAAGCCTGTTCCAACAGACCACTAGAATTCCTGCTTCAGCCAGTCTTTCTAGCACTAGGTTCAGGATGCCAGAAGTTTGGCCGTTCTTATGTTCTTAGGTGTCTACCATGTGTGTGCAGTGGTTGCTCTTGTGGCTGATACAACAGGGACTTCCAAACCATATAGCATAAACTGGCACAGCTTAAATGAACGTTCTTTTGACTTTCACCAACAGAAGGTATATCCGCATCAGATATAGATGTTTTGAATACACTTGTCTGCCCACCACCCAGATTCAGAGTGAAAAATCAGATCTATCTTTGCAACTGGAATATAGCACCTGAGTCAAAATCACCTTAAACTTTAAGTCAGTATGGTTCAGTACAGTGTTGCATGTATTTATCCGCACAAGTCCAGAAACAGTTTAATGGTAGGCTGCAACTGATGCGGCTACAGTCCCACTGTCTTTGCTCTGGATTTCAGATTTCAGGTCTGGCTTACACATAGCCAGCTGTGGGGACATATGCATCCAGTGTAGCAATAACTTGAGGCCTCCAGTAATTTAATTCCAAACACCTCCTTTTATGCAACAACCCCCAAACAGCAACTGAACTAGGGGTATATGCAACTGAAAAGCTGAGGAACATTGCCAATTCCTGTGAAATTTTCTAGAGGGAGAGAATGTCAGCTGGAACTGCTAATGTGTTGAGGGGAGATATGTTAATGCCCTCAAAGAGTTTAGGCCCACGTGGAGGAAGGCTCCTGTGGCTGGCAGATCATGTCTCCAGGGCTGCAGGCACTCTGTTGCAGCTGCTCTGGAAATTCTCCCTTCAGCAGCCTGATTAGTCTCACCCTGAGGGAAGGTAAATGGAAAGCAGATAGCTTCTTGTTTGCCTATTTCTAGACTAGAAGGCTGTGGTACTTCTACTCTTCCTTCCGCCCTTTGCCTTTGAGAGGAGAATGCAAAATCTTGATGGTGAGGCTGGTTTAATGGGCAAAACTGACCTAAGCAGCATTTAGCAAGCAAGTAGTGGGTAGATGTAGAAGTTGTGGAGGACTGATGCGTGGGCTGTGGGTCACAACCTGCTGCATGTAGGCTGCTGTAATGCAGAACTAAAATCCCTTTCTTGGTAAGTTTAAGTTAATGCCTCCCTTTCTTCATAGTGTGTATGAACAAAAAGAATTTAAGAGACCAAGGAACACTATGGATCTTAAAGGCTGGTTTCATGGCCATGAGGGATGTCAAAGTGCTGACTCCTCATTCCCAAAAGGCCAGAGGAGTAATAGGGTGTTTTGGGAGGTGAATCTAGCAGTACCTGCTAAAAACAAAAGACAGTCACTTGTAGCTAGGGTTGGATGTGGTTTTTAGACGTCGAAGGTGCAACAAATACAGGTTGCTGAGAGTGACACATTCCTGAAACTGCTGTGAATAGTTCTTAGACTTTCTCACCAAGCTTACAGTCTTAGATGCTTTCTCTTGTGAGTTATTTAGAGTCTGCAAGGTTTAATCAGAATTGCTTAGTGCCCTACAGCTTTTTCTCTTGATCAGCACAGAAGTCAAAGCGAAGACTTTTTTATTACTATTTTATTTTTATTTATTAATTTATTATTATTTTATTGATATCTATTCTGTCATCAGTAGAATCCAGCTTTCAGCTCATTTTCCCATTTATGATGTATATTCCAGGAGCAGAAAGGGAGCAGCATCTTCCTTGTTAATAGTATTTCTTGTTTCCTGTTGGGACAGACTGACGTCTTAAAAGTATTATCTCACAAGTGACCTAAGGGCACTCAGCAGCCCTCAGGATGCATCAGGATTGGAATCTTACTTCTAGAGAGGATTTAGAGCATGTTACAGCTTTTTGTAGTAGTGTTTCATAGTTTTGGTGTCCTAAGAACTTCAAAGCAGAACTGTTTGTATCTCTGTTGACTAAATCATTTTAAGTTGAAAAGGGGAGGATGAAGGAGAGAAAGAAAGCTCCATTGTTATGTGCTAATAAGTTAACCACAAAAACACATAAGTAAGTTAGAAGTAAATATATAAGAAAGACAACAAGCAACCATTAGCGAAAGAGAGTTTTCCATTTAAAGTGGGAAATACAGGACATTTTCTGGTAAATATGCCCCTTGCTTTTATTGATGAATGGAACTGTGACTTGTGTAAAAGAGATTAAGTAAGTCTTTTTTTTTTTTTTTTTTTTTTTAAAGGGTTTCAACGGCAAGAGTGAAATTTGCATCAGCAAGAGTTCCTCTGTCCACAGGTAACAGGTGTTTTGTCTTGCAGGAGGGCTGACTAGGGGCTATTAGAACTTGCTTCATTAGCAGCGGTGGCCTTTGCACCTGCTACAAGGCTTTAGGGAAGAAAGATTTCTCTCACAATTTTAGACCGTATTTAAGCCTATGAGTTTTGGCTGCAGGACTGTTGTTTTAGCAAGGACCAAACAAGACTTTTACTTCATTACACACAGAATTGCACAAACTTGCATGTTGTAAGCAGTTATGTAATGCCAGAAATATAAAGGATTTGCCAAAAGTGGTCAATTTCTGCCTATGTCTGCAAACAGACACACTTAGAGGGTCAAGTGGCATACTACTGAATCCAACAGAATTTAGAACAACAGCATAACTTGATTCACAAGAGTAATGAATTTAATATGAGAGATCTAAGACAGAATGGGAACTTAAGGAAATTTAAGTAATTTTGGAGGTAGATGCTTTGGTGCTTTAAATTCTTAAAATGGTGAGGTAGCCCCTACAAAAGAAGATAAGCAATGATGTACTTTACTGTCATTAACTCTCAGATCACTTTCACCTGAACCTAGGCCCTTTTGCTTTGTGGGGCTCAAAAACATGAGGTAAGTGCATGATATTCTTAGCTATTTGAGAAGAATATTGAACCTCACAGGATGACTTTTTGGGGAAGATGTTCAGGCTGTTTCAGTGTTACTTTTTTCTGAAACTGAAAGCTTATTGTTAATAATCTGTGGTACATAATTGGTGTTAACTGTGTATCCCTTAATCAGTAGCTCCCCAATTAGTACTTGGACATCATTTGCCTGGTGAAGTGGAAATAAGCTGTGCATGTGAACTAAGTTATATTCTTTTTCCTACTGACAACAAAAACAGATCACACAAAACCAGAGGAAAAAATGGATATGTTGTGCAAAGGGGAGTGTAAAAGTGTTTGTTTTGGAAGGTTTACCGGGGTGATAAGGGTAAGGAAGAAGCAGATCTCTTTCAGTACGACTGGCCTGTAACTGGAACGTATGCAAGCATGAGAAGGCCTATCCAACCCCATTCTGTTTATCCATGTTATCTCATCCAACTGAATGCGAATTCAGGTTCTCTGGTCAAATATATTCAATCCGCACTGGAACCCACGCTATCATATCTTCACGGCTGGCTTGTAGACAAACAGCCATTGAAAAGTAGTTTTCATGTATTTATACTTGGGGCTAGGAAACCTTTGTGCTGTGGTACAGTTCCATAAGAGCTTCTAGGGAAGAGTGACTATGAGGGGTACCCAAGCATTCCCAACCGGGAATATAGATGAAGCAGTGAAGGGTGTTGTGACTCCAAAAAGATCTTTGCTACTGTGTCTGTGATACGGTGCTATAGGGAAATACAGAATGGCTGAGCCTGTGTAGTACTCTTCTTAATGTCCATGGTGTTCAGCAGTAAATAACAGAAATTGTTGCAGTACTTGCTCTTTCGTATATTCGGATGTATGATATAGTGTTCAGGCAGAGTTCATCTCTTCCCTCTTACTGACATCTCTAACAAAAGAAAAGTTTTGATGAAGTCCCTAAACCTAACGTGATGGGTCAGTATCAAGGGCTACTCTAATGTACTGTGTCAGTGGTCAGCAGTGGATGCCTAGGGAAACCTACAAGAATAGATCAAATAGTGATACTTTCCCAAGGACCAATACTGCAGGTCAGGAACTTCCTGATGCCTGCTGGTGTGTGCCTTTTAGAGTCCTTTTGGGTTCAGTTCTATAAATTTATCCTGAGGAACTAGGTGCAATTTTAACTGTGCTTTGCTTGTTTGTTGTTGTTCTTGTTTGTTTGTTTTTTACAAGTTTCTTACAAGTTTCATTGAATTTCCCTGGGTCTTGGAACTACCACTTATCACTTACCCCTCCTTGGCCCTCTCTCATGCTGATGAGACCTAGCCCATTGAGTCACTCTTCATATGGAAGCTGGTTCTTGATGTCCTAGTTGTCCTGTATTACTGTTTTGTTTGCATATAGAAAGGTTAATTTCAATGAGAGCATTATTGTTTGTATATGATTTCTGCACTCCTTACTCAGGCAGAAGTCCCACTGATATTGATAGGGAATGGAAAAATGAATCCTGTATATCTATAAATGTATTTATCATTCCCCGCCAACAGTCATACCTTAGGTACTGGGTGGATTTTTGATGCATATTCCCAGAAACCAGCTCTGCATCCTAAAAATGTGGAATCCTTTTTTTTTTTTTTCCTCCTTCCATTTTCCAGCCATTCCTCTGCCGAAATAACAGCAGCTAAACCACAGAACATGCTGATTTTTTTTTTTGAATTACTGTACCATGAAATGTCAGCCTATATAGTTTCAAAACACTGCATTGGGCTAAACACAAATATTAGCTCCAATAGGTTTCACAACCAAAACCTCATGCAATGCTCTGAAAATGTATAAGAAATTTCGAAGAATTTAATAATAAAACCTAGTAGATGGCCAGAAATAGTAAATACTTGTAAGCTTTAAATTAGAAAGTTGCTTTGTCTACTTGTTTGCAATTCTTGTGACTTCAACAAAGTCAAGTGACTGCATAATCTTGGGTATGCAGTGACACTTTAGATTCCCTTGAGCGTCTAAGACATCTTCAAGGAGCTGGCAGATAGGACATGTAACATACGGGAGACCTACAGCCTTCTGCAATGGCAGCTATATGCTGGATAGGATACCGTAGGCATTTCAAGTGGCGTTGGATGCCTGTGTTTAGGAAGCTATGTCCTGTCCTTTAAATCCTGTATTTTTCCATCCATTCCTTTGCCATTAACTGTGACTTGGAAGTTAGAACAGGGAGTAATAAGCTGAGCGTTATTGTTTGTAGGTAGGAGATTGCTCAAAAATACTATGTGAAAACTCTGACAGTCACATGATTTAATTTCAGTGACACCAAATATTATCAGCAAATCTGAAAGTACATATAATTGGCTATATTAAAGGTTGTTAAGCAACATGGTAATACAAGTAAACAGGAACACATTCTTAAAATCTAGTTACTTGGGAATTACACTACTTGGCATGCATCTTATAATGATTCTGGTTTTATTTTTGCCAAGGCAGGCTAATAAAGCCTTCTGTTAAGTGGGGGAAATAGATATGATTCCTTGCTTGTTTGGCACATACATAGGCTAGACCTCAAGACTATTTTGCTGTAGGGGCATTTTGATAAGAGATCTGCAAGGTTAGGCTATACCAACAGAGCTGCATAAATGATCTTAGTATATAAATTATATAAAGTGAATAATTATTTAGTCAAATAGAGGGTAGTTAGGAGAACATGTAGTTAGGAAAATATTTGCAATATAAATGATATAGCAGTGTAACACAGCATGCTTGAGGGGTTGTTCTTTGGAGCAGCTTTCCCTGGACAATAGCTTTAACAGCTATTGGTTAGTTTGTCTTTTATGTGAATGAAAAGAATAACCAACTGGTTAGTATTTTTGCTTATTAGTGTTCCTTTTACTGTATTCATCATAAATGTTATGGCTTATTTCGTTTCTCCTATCCCAGTTGTACAAAACACACGGTAGCAGCTTTCAGGTAAATGTCCAGCTGTTCAAAAGGAATAGCTGAATTATTTCCCTTGGCTCTACACTCGCATATTTCTCATTCAAAAGGAACTACAATTTGATAAAACAGAACATTAATTTAAAAACTGGTCACTTTTCAAATAGAAGAGAGGGTTTTTAATCTGGGGGGTAATATTTTTCCAGTATATTTTCAGGTATTTTATTATTGCACTGTTTAAATAACTATTACATATATGTTAAATAAGATTCTGACCTAGAGCCTGTGGAAGTCAGTAAAGTCTCTCACATCACTTCAGTGAGCAGTGTTATCACACTGAGATTTACTTAGCACCCAGCAAGGATTATTATCTGATATCTGGCCTATGGAATATTACAGCATTTTGACAGCAGTGATATGGGGGTATCTCTCTTTTCTTCTTATTCCTGAGCTCACTTTCCAGCAGTTATCAGGGCTTAAACTTACTTGTGTAAGTCAAGCTTTGGTAACTGTTTGTCAAGGGTATATAAACACTTTCCATAGTAAGTGTGAAGACCACAGGTGTTACAAGTTTTAAAAGATAAATTGGTAAACAGTATCTGTTTGGTCATGGTAAACATGTTAAACTGGCACAACCAAGAATAATGACGATAACTAAGAAAAACAACTTTGAGGATTCTTAGCAGCTTCTTCAAGGAGTCTCAAAGTTTTTCCAAATAGTGCTACAGAGATCTGCCAAATTCTGAAACTATGAACTCACTGAGAGTTTCAAATTGAAAGAGAATCAGCTCTTTTTCTGTATTACACTTCTGAGCTGTTTATCAAAATTCAAGCCACAGAAAACCTTTCTCTATAGCAATTTCATTTATTCTTGCCAACTCGCACCCTGCTGCAATTTGAAATGAAGCATGAAGGCTGCTGAAATTATCACGTCCCTTTCACTGAAACAGCTGCTGCCAGAACAGGTTGTAGCTCTTTGAACATTTATCTATAGTACTAATGGCATTAGCTACAGACATATGGATTACAGGTCAATATCTTCTGTGATTTCTTTAAAGACACCAGATGGTAATGATACTCTCAGAATAAGGGACTGCTACCAAAGTGAATAAGGAGCTCCAAAATCATCATAACTTTGTGGGTGGTGGGAGGAGGGTTGGAATGGTCTTTATAATTTCTATAGGTCACAATTTGATTTTTCAAGTATCAAATGGATTGCCTCTACTATACTGAGAACAGTGTGTATTACAGAACAGCAAACAAATTTCAGCGTAAGGGATAGAAGAATTAACTTTCAGGGATATTCAGAGCTTATATAAAATGACTGACAGCCTTCTATTGGTATGGGTATTAAAACTACTACTATAGACAACTTTGTAAGTAGCCTCATTTAAAGCACTAACTGTGTTCCTCATTGCAGTCATATATAGTATGTGCTATACAGGCTAGGAATAATAAGAAAAATCAGTGGTAGAT